CAGGAATGGTGAAAATTGAAAAAAAAAAGTGTTACTATCTCCATGCATTTATGACAGAATAAAGCCTCCTATTTCCTCCCCTTAAAACAACTGAGATTTGGTCAGGATACCTGTCGTATTGAACTCCTGTTCTCCATAGAGCACCCTTTTACTTAACCCAAGGGGTGTCCAATTTGAATATCAAGAGAACCCTCTTGTTTCTTTCTGGCTAGATGGCAATTTTTTTTCCCTTCACTCTGAGGAGGAGGATTTTCTGTGTGTGATGTTGCCAGTCTTACTACAAAATGAAATGGGAGACATGGATCAGTCAGGAGGATCTGATCTCTCAAGACAGACAGGAGTGATATCATTAGATGTGAAAGAATGTACCACCAGAGACAAATTCACTGTCAGGAAAGAAGTATTAGGGCCATATGCAGAATCTCTCGAGAGTCTTTCAGATCTATAAAGGAAGTTAGCAGCGGGGGGGGTGGAAATCAGTAGGTGTCTTTTCAAATACAGAACAAAAATATCCTCTTCTTTGAAAGATGTATGAAGTATAGTTCCTGTATCTTACGTACACTGAGCCCATAAATGTTGAACCATACAGTAATTGTTGGCCTATCTATCTTTTATTTCAAGGTTGTAGTCTCCCTTAGACATTTTAATTGAAAATTTTTTGGCCTCTATTTTGAGATTCTGTTAACTAATCGTGATAAAAACAACTGGAAATTTCAATCTTCTCAATGTTTAAATTTCCCAGTTTTATAGCTTGTCTGAAGTCCATGGTTTTTCGATCTTCCAGCAGAATTAAGACCAATCAGAGTATCTTCTGACTGGTCTTAGACCCTCCATGGTCAGGTCACTCAGCATACTTCTACATAGGGACTGTGCAGAGGCATAATTGGTTAGGGAGATAAAGCAGAAAAGTCTCACTTGTATAAGGCTAGATCTCTTCAGTCATATTCAGTTAAGAAATATTACATCAGCTTCCTAAAGTTTTTGAAAAAATGCATTTTTGCTTGACAGGCAGAAAAGTTTAGTTGCTCTTGGCCGAGCTGCACAAATATTTCCTATGATTATTTGCATCGATCTCCCAGGAGAGCAAAAAATGATCATGAAAATTTAAACTAAAAGGTAAGCCTGTGCATGCTGCAAGTAGAATGGTTTTCTAAATGACTTGCACTTTTTTTAAAACCTATGTCCAACTTAGTTCTCAGCTCTTTAAACAGTTTCCTCATTAAATCCAAAACTCATGAATCTGAGAGGGTACAATGCACATCAGAAGGGAAAAAAGGAAGCTGGATAAAGGACAAATTTAGAAATTAGGATTAGACAATTAAACCTGTACCAGAGAATTGTTTACCATGAAGATGTAAGAAATGACTAAGCCCCGCTTCATTTTTATCATGAGTAACCAAAAAATAAAACAAATCTGATGATCCAAAGTAGATCACACAATATATTACCTAATAAAAACAGCGTAAGAAATAGTTTATAGCAGGGGCAGGCAATTCCTGGCACAGGTACCAGAGCATGACGTGTGAAAGCGTTTTGCTTGGCACACGTGCCTCGGAGCAGATGGCAGGGAAGGGGATGGGACTGCACTGCCACATCAACCATCAGGCCCCTCCCGGCTCCTCCGCCATCCGCCCATGGCACACCAACATCTTACAAGTTGAGGTTGTGGGTGTTTTTGGCACTTCGCCCAAAAACGCTGCTGACCCTTGGTTCACAGGGTACCAAAACAAACCTGGAAACTTTGTGGCAAGGCATCCCTCTCCAACAATGTCACATCTTAAAAGTTCTTGCTGGATGCATGGTGGCAGTGTAGCATAAGCTAGAAACTTTCATTGAATCATCATGCACTACGGGCATTAAACAACTCCAACCATCAAGTTATTTCATGGACCGTCACACCAATTTGGGCCCTATTTATGCTCTAGTAAGGTCTTGCTACACAATGTAGAGAAATATAATATGAAACCTCAGATGAGCATAAATCCCTCATGTTGCTCTGTTCTAACTTCAGCCTGGCTCTCCTAGTGCTGAACTACTGTCAGTATAAGAGTCCATTAGGCTGACATGCCATTCCTTTTACACATGTGGGTTAAATAAGATAAGTGGGGGTGGGGGGAATGTGATGCCAGTTTATTCTGTGTTAGTTCTTGCTTCAGAGCAATCAAACAGCTGCCTGCAGGTGTATTAATTAAAACATCACAAGCAGTAGGAATCCACTGCACGATTAGGAATTTATCTTCACCTTTCCCTCTTATTTTCTGTTACAACATGCCCAAACAGAGAGAATACAGAGAAAACACATGCCTTGCAGCTCATGCTCTTTTCCAAATACAAGGTTATATATATTCAGTTAGTTAACAAGTCAAAATATTAAAATTATTCATCTTACCATTGCACCTGTTGAAGCATTGTTCATACAAAAATAATGAAAAATTAACAGGTATTACCAAAATAGAGGCCTTAGCCTCATTGTATAAAGCCCTACACAGATCTAACTGGAAAAGGTAGCCATCTCAGACAACTCGCTTACGATGATACAGCTTAGGTTACCAACACTGAAAGGGCAATTTACTTTTCACCACTGTTTGATTCCAGTCGGCCAGGTTCCCCCTAGCCCTCTCAAGCAAAGGTAGCTTCATGAGGTATTCCCATTCATAGCGAGTTGTTTTTTTGGTGACTAGCTATAAGGCTATTATGGGCCTTAACTGCTTAACACTTTACCTTAATGGATTAATATTTCTTGCAAAACCATTACCACCTGAGAAATCTGTCCAGTGACCTTGAGAAAAATAAAATGGTCAATGAGAGAAGGCAACTCATTACGTGCTTGCACATCTTTAAGAACAGCAATGAACAGAGGAGTAGAGCTACCTTCCGCTAGGAAACTTACCCCTTCTCCCTTTCCAGAAAGGCACATTACACTTTGTGCACTCTGACACCTACAACCTAGAACATGAGCATATGAGAGGATTACCGCAAGGTACAGATCCAGGACTTTCCAGTGCAGTCACTCAATTGTAACTGCCCAATGCACTCAACCAAATGGTAAATCCCTAGTAGCTACGTTCTTTCACCGAAGGGAAAGCTATGCTGCATTTACTAGTGGTGAGAATGTGCACGTGGACCAGCTGCTGCAGAACGGCTGAGACAAGCTAACTAGCAAGTGTGTTTAGTCTCACAGTGACTTGTCCACGTGTCCATATCAATAACCAAAGATTTTTCTAGTGATAAAGACAGTGACGAAAACTAGCTCATCATCTGCTCAAGCAGATGAGCTACACCACAGGAGATAAATGAAGTTTGAGTGGTAAACACTATTTACATGCCTGAACTTCAACTGTCATAAAGGGTTCGAAGGGACCGCAGGAGTGACCTTATACAACAAACAATCAGGCCATACTCAGTTACAGTAAGGTACTGGGAAGTTATATGCATGAAGACAGTTGATAGAATTTGGCCTTCAATATTTCAAGTAGTGATGATGATGAGCAATGCTGTTTGACAAAGCACATGCTATCCTAATGGATTCTAGGTACTTCTATAATCTACTTCACCATCTCTGAAATGCAACCACAGTAAAGCTCATCCACAGTTTAGTCGAAGACATGAACTGTGTACGTCTCCTCTTCACAAGAAGGAACTAGGTGAAATGTTATTCACTAAATATTGGAACATAAAATTATTTTACACTCAGCATCTTGCCCAATTGGCAGAAGGCAAGCAAACCCATCCTGAAAAGAAGACCAAGACCAACTTCATAACAAGCAAGCAGAATGTAGAGGGTCTCTCCATCCTACCAAATATCACTGTTTTCTCTTTTGAGCCTAAAAGACATGCCAAAGGATTATACAATTCCAGTTTTTTATGGATAAGGCACTGCCAAAGTTCAGATCAATTTGAAGAAAGGACAGTATCTTGAGTCCAAGCTGAATGACTTTCTCCAGCCACTGAGAGAAAGACCTGCAAAATTACCTTCTTTTTCTTCTGGCCACATCTTTGCACTTGTTAAATACCTACAGGCTGGGGAACTCCCTTCTCGTCAGTGCAGAAGCAGAAAAGGATCTTGGAGTCATTACTGATGCCAAAATGAACATGGGCTGACAGTGTGGGGATGTGGTCAGGAAGGCCACTGATGCATCTCAAGCAGGTCCAAGGAGGTGATCCTCCCCCTCTATGCGACACTGGTCAGGACGCAGCTGGAGTACTGCGTCCAGTTCTGGCAACCGCACTTCAGGAGGGATGTGGACAACACGGAGAATGTTCAGAGGAGGGCCACCCGCATGATCAGGGGGAAGGCCCTACGAGGAGAGGCTATGGGACCTGAACCTGTTCAGCCTCCACAAGAGAAGGCTGAGGGGGGGACCTATTGGCCATTTACAAACTGGTTGGGGGGACCAGCAGGCATTGGGGGAGTCCATGTTCCCCCGAACGCTACCAGGAGTGACAAGAAATAAAGGTCACAAGCTGGCAGAGGGTAGATTTAGGCTAGATATCAGGAGGTGCTACTTCATAGTCAGGGCGGCTAGGATCTGGAACCAACATCCAAGAGAAGTGGTGCTGGCTCCTACCCTGGGAGTCTTTAAGAGGAGGCTGGATGAACACCTTGCCGGGGTCGTTTGACCCCAGTACTCCTTCCTGACAAGGCAGGGGGTCGGACTTGATGATCTGCTCAGGTCCCTTCCGACCCTACCATCTATGAAAAATGTTTTTTTTGGTAAAGATACACATGCGACAGAAGTGCCTTACAGACAGACAGAGTCAAATTAAAAATGTGATAATTTAAAAAGTAAATTAAAACTAGTTCTGACAGTACATCTTTGCCAAATCGCTTTGCCAGTATCTGCAGATTTTAGTCATTTTCCTTTTAAAAAGATGTTTTCCTTACCCATGTTGCGGGTGGAAAGACTCCTGCAGATTGGAAAAACCGATTATACAGAAACAAATGTATAAGCCAGAAGTACTAGGCAGTCACTCCCTTCTCACCCTGCCATGGTACTTACCCTGATCAATAGAGTGTTGAGGAAGTTGGCTAAGTTGGCTATTCACTACACCTGCATACGTCCGTAAGAACTCCTCTTCACTGGCAGTCAACTGGAAATGTGAACAAATGAATCAGTGTGAAGAGACCTTCGCCTACCAAGAAATATCACTATCACCTACCCATCTACCCAGGTACAATTAACTCACTTTAAGTGTTTAGCTCCAGCTGCCCCAACTCTTCTTTTGCTACCATCCACTTACAAATGTGAAGGCTTCTCATTTCATGAACAGGGAATACTTATCCCTCCAAACCACAGTCATTTTAAAAGTGTGCTATCATAAGGTTGGATAGAATGACTTCCCCTTTCCTCTGTGTCCATATCAAACCCTTAAAATTCATGCAAACCTAAATGAGGTTAAGCGTAAGACATAGCCAGGAATGTTTTTTGGCCTTCTAATAGACTCCATGGTTGCTGACAACATGCAAGGAAGAGAGGCTGGTTTGACTCTCAGAGCCCAAGGCAAATTTTCCGGACTGCCATTAAAATAGTATTTTGACTTCTAACTTTCTCCACCAGACCACACAACCCCTCCCCTATAGCCTTAGAGACAACCAGTATGAGCATCCCAGTTTTTTCAGATTCCATGACAAGATGGTAGAAGGCCCAGGTCAAAGAATCAGAAAAAAGCAGGGCTGGAAGGGACCTCAGGAAATCATCTAGTCTAACCCCCTGCTCAAGGCAAGATCCTCATCTAAACCATCCCAGACAAGATGTGATATCTGGTCTCAAGAAATTCACGATACTTACATTTGATCCCATCTTCCTAAGCATGAGTAGGACTCTCACTTTCTGTTGAATGTACATCTCCTCCGGACTCTTCCCGGGGACACCCTCACGGTTCATTACCCTCCTGCCAGCTCCCGAGACTCCTGAAGATAGAACAGGACCAGAATCAAATGATGTGATTATTTAGAAGAGCTTAGATTAGGTATGCATAATCTGAAAAGTCTATTTCCATAGCAACCTATTTTCCACCAGAAGGACAGAATGCTTCCCGATTTGGATGGCTCAGGATACTTAGGGTCTTCCTGTTGGCAGGCAGAAAGGAGTCTTTGCAGTACTTCACTTTGTGAAAACCAAACCAAAAACAATGCATTTGGAAACTAAACCCATCATCAGCCTGGCAGTTTGAGCTGGTTGGACTTACTCCATTCAAGCTGGTTAAGGAAGGGCATAGAGCAGCCATGTGTCCTTCACAACAGATGTGGGATTAAATTATATGGACAAAGATCATGAGCGAGAAAGGCTTATACTGACTACAAAAAAACAAGGCTCAATTCTGCATGATTCTAAGTATCTTTCATCTCTTATTCTCTTTAAAAGAGAAGCAAGAATGCCCAGCAGCCCACAGGATCTGTTTCAAACAGAAGAGCAGACTCTTGGTCACATCACTTTTAGTTCAGCTAATCTCTCTTATGACATGAAGTTCATGAGAAGAGGAAAGAATTCCAAGAAGGAAGTGAAAGGATTATCTCAACAGTAACCGATTTAATTCCACCAGCCCATGGATTTTTTTTCTTTTGTAATAATCACATCAAAGGTGGAGAACAGATGGAGCATGTATATTAGCTAACTTTACTTAGCCCTATGGTCCAGCACAGTTCTAATGAAATGTGGTTCCCCAAATTTTGTCCCTTTATTCGTGTTCTAACTTGGCAATTTATAAAAAGGAATGGAGTATCTTTTTCAAACTGACATGTTACATTTTTTGTAGGACAGGGAATTGTATATTTCAGCATCTTCTTCCTTATGACTTGATTAAGTTTTCTACCAGGAGTAAAGTATATTAGAAATGAAGACGTGGGAAGGGGGGGGATGTCTCCAAACGCTACCTCCCACCGTTACACCAACTTTGTTGCAGAAATGTATGGTCATGGCTTAAATACCATAAATCTGACCCTTACCAAGCAACAGGATAATTTTTCAACTACAGTCCTCCATTATTAATAAACACATTCTGCACACTAGTTTATTCAGAGTCAGTGAAAGTAAGTTCTTAACGTTAAATTCAGAAAGTAAAGATGGTTCCTACAATATGCTCATCAAATCTATTTTGGGTGTCAGGTGTTCCCTTATAATTGCAAACCATGAATGGTCAAATAAGATATTTCAGTGGAGAGAAAAAAAAAAATCTTCCAACAATAAAGAATAGTTGACTTCCCCACAAAAGTTACCAGACATGTGGATGGTTTAAAATTGGAGATGTTACATGAATTATCTACCAGGAGGTGGCACTATATGAAAATATCCAGAGAGAAATACCACTTCTGCCCCACTCTAACCAAGAGAAATCCTACACATTTACAAGTTATCTAACTGTGGAAGGGAGGCAACCCATCTTCACTTTCTCTGTAAATCGGAGAAAAGCCAGAAAACAGACAAGAACAGAAACTGGAATAGACGGAGAGAAAGACAACAGTGAAGAGGAGGAAGGTTAACAGAAAAAGAGAAACAAACACAAACATTAAGCACTAAAACTAGAAAATGGTAAGGACAACAAATTCAATTGCTTGATCTTTCAGTGGAGTGACTAAGTTGGTTTGACATCAAGGATGGAAAAAGTCAAAGGAGAACACTTCCTCACACCCGGAGATTAGGTTTCCCTTTGAAAAAGAAGTGATGGTGTGGCAACAAGGAACAATAAAACACCCCAACTTTTTTAAAGACTCAGTATTAAAGGGCACGCCATCTATCAGTGAAAACTGCAAGATTTATTCTTCACCTGAGAAGCCAACTAACCCCTTCCTGTAGAGTATGTTACTCAGCCCTCCCTAAAAAGTTGGACAAACACAAAAGTTAAAGAGCAATACAAATAATTAAAGGGAAATAAAAGCCACCAGCAAAACCTGGCTCAGCAATTCGTAAGAAGGGGAAGGAATGCCAGAACCTAGCAACCATATTCCCAAAGGGAAGACTGAAACTGATTAAAACAAGAAGGTATATTGGAGATGGGTGAAATTAAGAAAAAAAAAAAAGAAAAAAAAAATCAAGAAAGCAATCCCTTAACAGTGTGATCAATTGGGTCATGGTGAGACTAAGAGGGAGAAGAGAGAGAGAGATAACCATTCACATCCCTAGGCCATACCTTATGTTAAAGTACTCCATACTGTATAACATTACCAAGAAGAATCATTCATACAAACACTCGCAACTATCTTCTTTGCTTTATATATGGCAAGAAAGTTAGTGGCAATGCTAGTAGTTAACCTACATGCTTTCCAGAGAGATCTTAGCCCTAAAGAAATTAGATGGAATAAATGCAAGTGATATTTTGGAATTTGTGGGAAAAAATGTATACTTTCAAGAGAGCTTCTTCTCTACTTACCTGCTTCTAAAAACCACACAAGATCAGATAATCCAGGTACTCAGTCCTGATTAATAATCACAGGCTGGAAACAAATGCAGAGAAACTGCCCTGTGTGGGAAGTACAGGCAAAATATTAGAAAACAAATACAAACTGAAAAATAAAAGACTACATATATTTATTCTTTAAAATCAAAATCTGCTTTACAGTACTGTTTTCAGCTAGTTTGGTACATGTGAAAACTTTATACAGTACTCGTTGTGTACTCCAACAAGTGAATTTTTATGAAAAAGAATGAATCACTTATTCATCCACAAACTTAGAAAACCCACCTATCAACGTCCAAGCATTGGAGCTTGGAGTGCACTCAAACCCTGCATTCTTTGGTGGGGGTGAGGACGACCAACATAAAACCCGTCTCTTTGAGCAAACCAATTTAAGTAGCAGCAAAGTAGCCTGGTATATTTTTTCCTCCAGGTCAGTTCACCTTTTGAAGAATTCAAAAAAAAGGAGGACGGGGTAGAAAACATGGTACTTGCAGGCCAAAATTATGTTTTTCAGTCATGCATATTGCATCTCAATACAGTAATTATGAGCATGTCACTCGAATGATTAGCCAAAAGAGTTTTCTCCACCTTTTGTATGGTGTGGGGCATTTTACACAGACTTTGAACACTGGATAGTTACATTATGTCTACATTATTGAAAAAACCAAGACATGGGGTCTTGTAACCTATTTTACAATCGCCATTGGGGAAACAGAGGTTGAATAAAGAATTGAACTCTCCTACCACCTCTGATCAAAAAAGTTCAAACGAAGGAAATGAAGGGTCAACAAACCTTTTACCATGATGCATACAAATGGCATGATCAGCAGCAGCTTTGGACAGCCCCAAAAATCAGAACTTAAACCATTACCATAGAAACTGCCACATTCAGATGTAAAACCTTTGATTAGAAATGATTTGCACACATCTGAACCATACAATGAAACAAACCCTTGGTACAGAGGCCAAGCAAGCACCTTGTTTAAGTTTAGAGATATGCACTTGTCCTTTTCAATCAGAAGGTGAAGACAGAAGTGAAGTAACTCCCAGTTTCTCTTTTCCTCTCGTACTCAGCACTTCTGCACCATTGTATGAACCTACTGATGACAGGAGAAGCCCCAAACTGGAGTAGCCAAGACCTCCAGAACTATTCCCTACA